AAAAATTGATGAAAAAACAGAATAAAAAAACCCTTAAAGGAATTTATAAATACCACCTTTAGGTTTAGATAGATGCATAGTTCTACTAAGCTAGTTAAAAATTTCTCCCGTAAATTAAGGAAAAAATGGACTACCAAAAATTTAGGGGTCGTCAACATTGAAAAAGGCACAGTCCTTTGGCACAACCTTTGATCTTTTTTTTTTTATAAAAAGGGTAAATACTATCATGTAGGAGTCTAAAGATTGCCAACAAGGTAAAGACCTGATCCTTTGGCGCAAGCTCCGGTCTTCCTCAATAAAAAGGGGGAAGATTGTCATGTATAAGTATAAAGATCGTCAATGGCGGTAAAGGCTCAGTCCTTTCGCAGATGCTTCAATTTTCCTCTATAAAAAGGGTGAAGACTGTCATCTATGAGTCTAAAGAGCAACAAAGATGGTAAAGGCCAGGTCCTCTACCACATGCCTCAGTCTTCCTCTATAAAAGTGTTGAAGACTATCTTGTAGGAGTCTAAAGACCATGAATGAAGATAAAGGCTCAATCCTCTAGCGCAGGCTCTGGTCTTCCTTTGTAAAGGGGTAAAGAGTATATTGTAGGAGTTTAAAGGCCAACAAAAGCGACCAAATAAACATAAGTTGGAGAAAAAATCCTCCAAAAATCTGGCAATGAACATTAAGGAAATAGGTCAAGGTAGCAATCAGTGGAATAACACGAAGTTATTAGTGAATATGTCTTCTTCCAAGAATTAAAAAAAATGACAGGTAATTTTTTCTTTTAAAAATTTTATGATCCTGATCTGGCATCAGAGTTTATCATTTGCATTGCTTGATTCTTGTAATTATATATATATATATATATATATATATATACATTCTTATGAACTGGGTCACCAGGCACCTTAAAAATTACTTAATCTAATCACAGAGTGTCAGAGCAAAAGAGAGTCCCTTTGATCACCGAGGTAGGGAGTATGTTCTAAATAATTTTCTCTTTTAATATATTATATGATCATCTTACACCCTAATAGGCCCATCTTACACCCTAATAGGATGACAATAGGAGAAGATCCCATGGATTAACATCAATTGATGGTGTTGCAACTACTATTACTTCAAACGACTAAGCAATTATTCATAACAAGTTCGGTCCACTTAAGGACTTAGTGATTGTTGCACCAAAAGTGTGGTTTGACTAAGAAGGCACCTCACCTCCTGGTTTTATTACACTATATGAGATGGTGTTGAGTGTAGGGTTGAGATTTCCTCCAGCTCCCGAGTTACTTGAGATCTTTAAGGCATGTGGCATTGGTTTACCTAAATTCTCATGCAAGGCCATAACGATTATTGTTGGCTTGACGATTATTTTCAAATATTGTGGTGTAATATTAATTGTTGAGTACTTATCCAAAATGCACAAATTTAAAAGTGATTCACAAGGTCGTGTATCATGCAGGAGCAATACGTGGTTGTATTTTTCGACATGCGACCCTTCTATGAATTTTTCTAGCTCATTATTTTTTGTGAAGAATGAATGGCGTCTTCCTAAAAGATGGGGGGAGTTAAAGGAGCTATCAAACTCCCCTCAGCTAGGAGAAGAAAAGATATTAAAAATTCTTAACTTTCCTGATATATAAAGCCTTCAATAGGGGATTTGCCATATTAGCTTGTATGTATTGGAGGAGAAACTTTTTAAGATTGGTATTTCCATTCAAATAGGAAGATCGTACGCTATTCGATTGAAGAATGGGAAATTTTGTGAAGCGAGTCTCAATTCTTTTAATTCTTCCTTTGAAAAATCCTTTAGAAGGTCAAAGGGAGGGTGGATCTTCCACCTTAAAGAAAAAAAGGTGAATGACGGAGTGATATTGTCGAGGGATGGTGAAGGGTGTAAGGAGGTTGCACGTCCTTTGATGACTGATGATGTTAATCTTGATTCAGACAGTGGGATATGAACCTTGAAGTTATCTTTCCCCGAGGAGGTATTAAAGCATGTATGTACCGGGCGACAATGTGTAAATGAAATTATGAGCTACCTCAATCTCTTTCTATTTTTTTTCTCCTTCTTCTTCTTCCATATTAAGACAAAATTATATATCTACTTCAGATGATCCAAAATATTTGAATCACCAATAGATGTGTAAAATACCGAGTTTGTAAAAGTTAAATATCTTCGAGGAGAGTAAGAGCGAAGCCTAAATACAAAGATTAAAGAGATGTTGCCCTTGGAGAGCCAATTGGCATAGTGCAGAGCATAGTTAGCGATATTATATACCTCCCTTTCCTTTTAAAACCGAGAAATTGATCGCTTTTTTGAAGTATTGATTGAATAATGTGCAAAAATTTAACAGAAAAAGGAGGTTTTAAAGATATCTGCAGCAAAGAAGAGTGCTCTTGATGTTGACAAAGAATCTCTTGAGAGAGAGAGAGAGAGAGAGAGAGAGAGAGAGAGAGAGAGAGAGAGAGAGCCAGCCATATTAAATGTTGAAGCTCGCACAGAGGCCATATCACTAAAGGTTGTAGAATAATTCAAAATTTTCCTTGGTCTATTACCGAGAGATCCAAAATCGTACTCAAGAGGCTTATAATAAACTATTTAATGCTGAAATGAGAGATTTAGAGTGTTAATGCCTTGAAGAAAGCTTCTTTTGTGGCTTTTAAAGAGAGTTCGGCTGGTACAATATAATGTTACTATTGTTGTTGAAGGGCTATCTCCCTGCCAAGCCTTCGAGGACTCCCATCCAGATTTTGATGATGATGCTATTGAAAGTGACCTGAAAAAAAATATTCTTTAGTGATGATGATGTTGAGATCATGTAATATTTTTATTATGGAGTATTTTTTTAATCATCTGATTATCTCTTTTTATTTATCTTAGTGATTTTTTAATTGCATGTTTATTTAACAAAAATGCATATATCTTGACGTTAAGTTGTCTTAAGGTTACACAATTTATAATTTAACAAAGGTTCTCACATGTGTAGCCTTATTTTTTAAGGCGAGAGAGAACTTATAAAATACTTTTTAATCTATCCCAAGTTAGGTTCTAGAAAGCTACTTGATGAAGTTAACCAGTTAAGAAGAGGTTGAGAGACATCCATCTAGGATATCTGATTTATCTAAGATCATTTACCAAAGTGTTTCTTGATGACACTAACCCCAGTGAAAGAGATTTGACTTATCCAATGTTGTTTGTTAAAGTGTTACTTGATAGCATTAAACTGTGTGGAAAAAGTCAGATTGAGTCTCTCTAAGATTGTTCATTAAGTGATAAAGATACAATGAATTTCATGTATTTCTTCAAAGAATTGAAAGGTTCAAATTTTGTTGGATTATAGTTTATCTAGTATCATTATTATGATGATGCAAAAAGAAGGCATTAAAAACAATGGATAAATAAAAAAATTTCATCTTAAAAAAGATAATACATTTATAAAATGGCATAGCTTAAGACACACGAGGACTACATAACACTTAATTCAAAAAGCATATAAACTATATAATAGGTAGCTTTGTTAATAGCTACTGGTAATGTTTGTAATGATTCTCAGTGCTCCAAGTTTGAGGTAGTGTTTTTTCATCAATATCCTTCAGCTTGAATGTTTCAGGCTTCCACTATATAAGGTCTTCTAATATGAGGAGAGTTTAATGCATTGGGAGCCTTTCCCTATTGGCTTGAGGCTGGCTTGAGGCTACAAAAGACTAAATCTCTAACTGAGATGCATCGAGGTTTCACCCTTCTGTTATAATGGCGAGCTATTATTTTAAGAAATAATTTTGAGTAAGATCATGTCTCTTATTTTTTGAAAAAGATCCAGGTTACTTCGGAGTTTATCATCATTATTATTAAAGTCAAAAGTCTATATCATAAGGTTTAGGACTCCAATTTCGACTAGGATGGCTGCCTCTGTCCCAAAACAAAAGTTATACAGTGTTTGCCCTATAGGAATTCTGAAAGAAGTGTGGTAGGCCCAAAGAACATTGAGAAGTTCATTAGCACACTACCCCCTACCCCCTAGCTTTCCAGAGGTGTGTGTTTAGTCCCTTAAGTATAATTCGATTTGTAACTTTGGTCTACACACTTGCTTAAGAATGGACAACGATTGTGTGCACCAACTGGATATGAAGATCCATGTAGAATGTCGTTAATGTTTTTCCAATTAATTGAGTTCCATTGTCTATGATGATCTTTGCAAGAATGCCAAAAAGACATTACATTTTTTCAGACGAGTTATTTAGCATTTGTTTCTATGATTTTTGTTAGGGGTTTGATCTCTATCCATTTGGTGAAGCAGTCCACAACCAAGATGAAAAAATTTTGTTGGCTGGCAATCACAAAAAAATGTTCCATTATATCAATAACAAATTAGGCAAAAGACAATGAGCTTTGGAGTGACAAGTGCTCTATAACAGGTGAATGGGCGAGATTGGAGTGTAGCTAGTAATTGTTATATTTTTGAGTGAATTCTAGCGCATCTTATTTTATTATTGGCTCATAAAATCTGTCTCATAATCTTAAGAGGAAAAGTGTTCTCTACATATTTCTAAATGAACCTCTCGTAGTGCATAATAAACTTTTTACAATGGGAGACACTTAAAGTATGATCCTATAAAACTCTGCTTGTGTAACTCTCCATAAATAATTGTGAAATTTGTTACTCGTCTTTAAAGCCGCATTACATATGCCGAGTCTTACAACATCATGATGGATAATTAACCTATGAAGAACTTGAACTTAGATCTTAAAGTTCTCGTATAATGAGGATGAAATTTTTGAGATATGTCTTATCTCTAAATCTAATGTCTTCTGAAAATTTGAACTTAAACAAATTCATTAAAATTCTTCCAAAATGTGAAGAGGCCGGAGCAAGAAATTTCACAGCCCACACTTACTCCATAGTATATATTATATACCTTGTCCCAGCTCAATAAGATGTTTCATGCTCCAAAACCCTGCACCCGAAAAAGAGGACATCTCTGCAATATTATTTATTGAATAAAAACTATAAATCAGATATAAGGGATTATTAATTAAATTTAGGATTATCAGTAAATTGAGGCTCCTTCCACTAACACAAATAAGAAAAAAGGTCACAAAAAGTCTCCAAGAAACAGTTCCATTGGCTGTTTGACTTCCACCAATTCTAACCTTTGGAATTTGTTTAGGAACCGAACTTCGATTTCTCATAAAATACACCAAGCTGTTCAATGCCTTATAATGAGTTAACCAACCAGTTGATCTTCGCAAGTATCTTGTCCAAATGAAGCAGGTGATTTCGAACACGATAGCAGTGGAAAGTGTAGAGTATGGCAGCAGAACTTACTATGATGAAGGACAATATCACTAATTGACCGAAGTCCTGATGGGTAGAGCACAAATGGACAAAATGGATAGTAAGAGGACAGTTAATATGAAATTATTTTTAAGTGTTCACTTCAAATGACCTACCCTTGGATCTGAAACAACCATCCCCATTATGCAAGTCAGCAAATCCAGCATAGACTGAAGTGAGCTCTGAACTCCACCAACAATGCATCTGTCAGCTTCAGAGACTTGATCCTGGTAAATGTTGACGTGAGTTTAATTCATAATCAAAAAATATAATACCTCAATAGCAGTAATTGACAATTATTGTGGTCTCTGAGATGGAAAGGGCATTTTCATGGACCTTCCAAATCACAAAGAGACTCAATTTTACAGAAGACATTTTTTTATCTAAAAGAAGCTTTTGTCCAATCTAAAGAATTACAATTATGGATTATTTGGCGTTCAGTTTAAGGCTTCATTTGGGACGATTTTCTTTCAACTTATTAAAGTAGCTTTCTAGTGCAAAAATAAAAAAATTAAATTTTTGCACTAAAAAAGCTGCTTTATGAAGCGGTAAGAAAGCCGTCACAAACAAAACCTAAAGCTCCTAACATGAAGATAATAGTTGAGATGAAAAGAAAGATACAAATTTTAAACGATTGTGTTATAAATCCATAACACAATTCCTTGAAGAGCTCAAAGATTATTTTTTTTTTTTTGTAGGTTAATAGCGCTGATTACATTTGGAGTACAGTTACAACTTTAATTTGATGGAAACTTCTGTTATGCCCTGAATTAGCAAAACCAATCTTAGAATTTTAGTTACATATCATGGTTTTGAAAATCGGACCAGAGTAGCCGGTTTGACTGGTTCAACCGTGAATAGGGTATGTGGCCGGTTCGGTCCTCATGAAAATCCGGCCCAACAACAAACCAGTGGGAAGCTGTTTGAACCGCCGGTGGTTCAACCAACAAACCATTGAACCGGTCCAAATTTTTAAGAACTAGCTGTTTCAATGCATAATTTATTTAAATAATTTAACTTATTATAAATTTTATTAAAAATTAAATTAATTTAAATATAATATATTAGTAAATAAACTCCAAAAATTATATATTAAGTATTAATTAATCATACCCACATGATTCCACCTCCCGATGTGGGCTCTTTACTCATTAAAAAAAAAGCTATATAAGCAACATAAGAAAACCTCCAAAGCGATGTGTGACTAAACAACTGGTTGTGTCATATGTGCGCATGGTGGATTACTTTCAAAATATTTTTTTTGGAAAAACTTTGTATATAATATTCAAATAAATTTGATATATAATATATAGATATAAAACCACGCGCAATAAAAGCGTGTATGGTAGGTGTCCTCAGACGAGGACACCGCGGCCGTGATTTTTTGTTCCTCCCACCACGCGCAATAAAGGCGTGGATGGGGCCTTTGACGGTACCTGTTTAAAATGCACAGTTTGCTTTCCCCCCGCTCGGGGTACTTATAAGTGACCCCGTCTCGCCGTAGGTGCCGTACCGGGGTCCCATCCCGCCCCACGCAATAAAGACGTGTATAGGCGGTTTTCCGGTGCACCAAGAAAGCCGAAGTAGAGTTTTGGTGATTGCCCGCCTTATCGTAGGCGTTGGACCGGGGTCCCAGCCCACCACACGCAATAAAGGCATATATAGGTCATTTTTCGGTCCGCCGCATACAACGAAACGACAATCTGAGTTTAGAAACTTCGTACCTTCGCGGGTTGTAGAGGTTGGCATGTGGATCGAGGGAGAGAGAGCAAGCATGTCGAGGCAAGAGAAGGATTTGTATTTCCTTCACTTATTAATTATAACATAAAATTATAATTATCTTTAATTAATTATAATTAATTATGAGTAATTATAATTAATTATAAATAGCCTTAATTAATTATAAATAATTATTATTGATTAATTTTAATTTAAAAATAATAATTAATCAGTATTAACCTTAATTAAGATTAATCTATACTTATATGTAAATTAAATTTATTTAAAGAATATTATTTTAATATTATTATTATTTATTACTTCATTCAATTCGACCCCGGTGGAACCGATTAAACTGTAAACCTCTCCTTCAAGTTCATTGTCCAATCCAATTTTCACAACTTTGTTGGATATAATGCTATGATGCTATGTTAACAAATTTGTTCAAATACAGCCCTAGCAAATGAATTATACAGTTAAAATTGGAGGTTATAAATGGCTTAGGAAAGACGGAAGTTCACAGCAAGAATGCAATGAACTGAGGAGGATAATTAATCTCAACATGCAAGTGGAGGTTATCATGCTTAAAACCTGTCCCATGACCTTGTTAATCCATGAATTAATTTTTTCATTTTTTTTTTAATTTTAGTAGCAATTCAGATTTCTTGATCAATTATTAGATCAATTGAATTTAATATCGATCGAGTCATCACTTTCTTTTTGAGGTCAACTATGGCTACTCCAACTTGGGTCAACAATGTATAGACCAGCTACCTTCATAACAAGTTAAAGGTCAATGAAAGATACTGATACATATGATAGTAATTGGTCAGTTTCACTTTAAGTGATTAAAAACATGTTGGTTCAAAATATCAAATAGTCGGTTGTTATTCATATGCACAAGCTTTTGAGTTAAAAACATATTTGACTGCAAAAGTATTTGAACCAACTTTGGTATACCCTTGGTTCACTCGCTAACAAGTATTAGAGACAATAGTTTGACTATGATCAAACTAATCATGAGATTTATGACCCTCATGGGTCTTTGGTGGGTTCTATCGTGGTTAGGCAAAATTTTAGAGTGGGTGAGGCTTCCACATAATTGAGTAGGCTCTTTACACATTATATTTAATGAGCTTCCATTTGAGGGTGAGTGATAGTTGATGTGGTGAGCTATCATATGAGAAAATTGTTAAGATTGTTGATGAGCAATGTTGCACCTATACACCTATTTATGAAGGCGTGTTGTATCTGATACATCGATACACGGATACGCCTTTGATACGCCACCGATACATGTCGGATACACCAAAGTCGTATCAAATTAAAATACTATTTAATTTCAAAAGGACACGCGTGTCCATTGAAAAAAAAAAGAAAAAAAAAAAGACGGTGCTGCAAGCAAGGTTCTCTCCTTTCCGAGATGGATTTGAGTCTCTTGATGATATGGGAATATTAGAAATTACTAATCTTTCACTTGATGAGCCTGAATTAGAAGCTATGATATTTATTGAAGATGATATAGAAGTTCAAATACAAACCAATGAAGAAGCTAATCATATCATTCCTTCTATTGAATAGTTGAAACTTCATGTGCTAGATAATTTATGTTTATGCTTTTGTTATTGTATTAGACATTTAATGCATTATTATATTAATGATGTTTTTTTTTGTATTTTTAAATATTATGCTTTGATTGCTTTCTTAATTTTTATGTATGATTTATAAATTATAATGTCGTGTCCGCGCCGTACCCGTATCCAATATTTTTAAGAATTGACGTGTCTTGTATCCGTATCGTGTCGTATCCATGTCGCTGTATCCGTATCGATGCAACATAGTTGATGAGCTTCCATTTCAACGTAAAAGGACGTTTTGTGCTTTACACAGAGGTCAACATAGGGACCAAGAGGAAGAACAAGAATTTGGTTAAGAGAGAAAAAGAAATTATGTGGAAGTAAAAAAGTTGGAGTTTGTCTACTGTTGAGGTTGTCCAAAGATCAGGTCTCGACAGGAGGAAGAACAAAAAGAAAGAGGAGTTCATGAGCCTCCATTTCTGACCATGAGGAAAAATTCATTTAAATTTTCATCTTTCCTGTGCAATTTTAGAAAAGATATAAATGTATAATTTTTAGTTTTAACATAAACAACAGTATATAATTGTTCAATAAGAAGAAAATCAATTGGTGGAAATTTCAATTCGACGAGGAAGAAAGGAAAATTAATCGAGATAATTAATTTTAATTTAAGAAAATTTAACTTCCTATCCTTTTAGAGATTAATACTAGATGATGTAACTGTAATTATGATATGATAAATTAGAAATATTCAAAGTTATATGAATGATGTCTGTCCAATGCATTTGAAGTTGCCTTTAACAACATCCAATTAATACAACGTTATTTAAATAACATTTGGCTTTTTCATAAATTGGTCTAATAATAATTACGCAAATGAATATTATTTGGAATAGTGAAGTATTTAAATCGTTAAGCTCAGACAAAATACTGAAGCCAATAAGAGTTCTCAGGAAAAGTTTAGGTTAAGAGTTATATATATATATATATATGTTAAAATTAATGAAATTATAGTTGTAAGATAACAGCATAGATTTATGTAATTGTGTACGTGATTGTGACCATAGGTGTTTCATTAAAGAAGCTACTTAGAAAATAAAGAAATTTGAAAAGATTTCAGCACGAAAAGCAATGAAGTGAGGGATTACATTTATTTTAAAGCAAAGTTATAATATAGTATATACAAATATAAAATTTGCTTATACAAATTAATGTGTATATGTAAAAGAAAATGAAATAAATAAAAATAATCATAATAAATAAATAGAAAGCACTGAAATGGAAAATGTATATGGATGCAAATACAAAAGTTACCCCCTTACAGTATTGGCATGAGATAAATAGAAATGAAAATGAAAATAATTGTACCTTCATTAAAATGAAAATAGATTAATGTGTATATGCAAATTATTATAGAAGGTGGATGTGTTTTGCTTTAAGTGGTTAGATGGTTGATTTCAATTTTAAATATTTTTGATTTTTTGATGATCTTTGGGATTTTAGATTTTCGAGCATTTGAGTGACATTTGAAAATATTTGTGAACCCCTTCGGTCTAGATCTTCGTTCAACACGACCATCATAGGGGTGAATGGGGTCATTTCCATTTGTGGATTGAACTTTGTCAACTCTGTCGAGTTATCGACAGAGGATAAGGTTTCGTAGGCTTTATATTTTTATTAATAATTTTTTTTGTTGAAGGCCTTATATGAATGTATGAAATAGATATTTCGGTCAACACACTGATCGTATATCTATTTGATAGTTCGAGCCGTGAAGACTCCTATCTACCCACATAGAAGGATCGGACTAAAACTACGTTCATTTATTCACCCGTACAGCATCCCTAGACGGCACGTGTGTATCCAAGACACGCTTGTCGGGGCCCAAGCGGGTCTTGTAATTGCATTTACCCATTTTGTGTAACTATGTG